TGGTGACTAGATCACCTCTTCTTTGTTTTCCCTTTCATCAACCTTTTCTTTTATGTAGTCCAGGACAAACCCAGGGCTGTAAATGATGTGAGTGGCAAGAGATAAGCAACACAAACAACACATAGGCAGTGAAATAGATGATGTTAGCCTTGTTTTTGTAGCAGAGTCCTCAGCTGAACAGAGGAAGACACAGGTACTGGTGATGATACAGGAAACTGAACAATGAAATTTATACAATAATAAGTATAATCAATTGGGCCATTTACAACAGGGACACTTTAAAATTAGTTGCACTATTAACTGTACTCGTGGCTGGACTGTTAAAGGTCGCAAGGTTTAGGTTTCGGGTCATATCAGCCACATGTGATAACAAGCAGCAATCACATCAGCTGACTGGAGGACACACAGACATGGAACAGAGCTCAACTCAATGCAAACAAAAGAGAAATACCTTGGATGTGACGTGAATGTTATACAAGCCATCCATACACTCATGTGACTTTGAAGGCATTTGTCTTGTGTTCGCATTGAGATGAGCTCTGTGGGAAACACTAGAGCGAACCCGTCTAACTCTAACACTTACCTTAACCTAAAACATGTCTTCACCTTAAAATGTAATTATTTACATTATAGGGACTTGCTTTTTGTCCCCATAAGGAAGACAAGTCCCCATAATGTGAGTTTATGAGTCATTTTAGGGGGACATTTCATCTCTGTGGGTTGTATTTGTCAATTTTACAAAATATTCACTTCAAGCACTGGTCAATTAATATTATATTATGGGAACAACTAGATTATTTAGCAAAAAAGCATTGATTTCTTCACTTTTTGGTTGATATGAAATGTACCCCTGATTACAGAATGACCTGCAGGTAACATGACATCGTTTTGAACACGTTGCACTGTTGTTATCTCTACATCTCCCGTGAGCCGCTGCTATTCTGCACTGAGCTATAATAAAACATGTGGGCTGCTGACCTGACTATACTCATCCACCACTACTTGAGTTAATACGATTTCCAGAGTCCTTGATCCGCAGAACTTACCTGGCGAGGCCAAGGTGTCTTTATCCGACGACGAGCTGTGCCTGTTCTGCCTGCTGCGCTTCTCCCTCTCCCCCCGCGGAGACGACGAGCCTCCCGCTAAGCATGGCAGCAGCAGCGCCTCTTCTCCGGAGCCGTCCGTCTCCAGCTCGGTCAGGACGCTCTCGCACGAGTCCGACATACGAACGGCGACCCCGGGGTTCAACGCGAGTCCCAAGCCCGCCCGGCTCCTGTCAAACAAAACCCCAGGAGAGTCCGAGGAGAGAAAGTTGGACTCCGGCAGCGACACCGCTGCCTCCCCGGCGTCCAGCCCGCTGCTCTCTGTCTCTGTCGGGTCGCATTCGGACATCATTGTCCCTCTGGTCTGACACAGTTTCAGTGAATCACACCCGGGTCCCCTCACAGCTCCATCTCCCAGCGGCTCGGGTCCAGATGATCTGCTAGGAAACGGCCGCTCTCGCTGACAGACACAGAAACGTCCACATAATCCTGCTTCCTGCTCGGTCCAGTGCGCATGCGCAGCAATACAGACACCGGTTGGCCGAAGATGCGTTCAAGGACTCACTCGGAAGTGCGGACTTCCAAGTTTTAATACGTCAATAATTTCTCGCCCGGCAAAATCAACTCCCAGACACAGGGTGGCGAGGCGAGGAGGTTTTATGAGCATGTATCTAAACTCTTGTTATTTTAGTTCATGCCCCCCCCCCCCTTTTGGAGGTCCAGTGTGTGAAGGTTTGAAATGTAGAATCACCTGAATACACTGAACCTTGTGTCTTGACATCACTCACTGTCTGTTATCTCCCTTTCAAAGCTTGACAAGCTTTGTATTGTGTTGAATATATGTGCCCTCTGAGTGTTTTGTGTGGATTTTGTGTATGTGATGAAAGAAATATTATGCACTGAATAAGTATAGCTAAGCTTAAGGCCGTAAAACCAAATAGACCATTCATTTTGCATTCCACATACACAAAGGCCAACACGGATATAGGCTTGCTGTAGGTCAATTGAGAAAAACTGGTTCTTATGGTTTAGCCAGTCAGTCAATTAAAGATTCAGTGTGTAAGATTTAGGTGAAAGAGATCTATTGGCAGATACTGAATATAAAATCATCCTCATGATGTTTTCACAAGTGTTTCATCAAAATTGTACAAAGTTTTGCTTTCTTTACCCTAGGATAGCCCCTTTATATTTAAATACTTTATATTTACATCTGGAGCAGGTCCTCTGAGGCCACCATGTTTTTAACATGAGTCCAGACTGGACAAACTTAAAACATTTTGAGTTTTTCTGACAACTGAAGTCTACCACAGGTTCTCTTACATGTTTGGAAGGGGAGGGTGAGGTGAGGGGTACTCAGCAGCAACTTGCAATTTCACCACTAGATATTACTAAATTATACACACTTTACCTTGTTGTACCTAAAACAAATTAACCATATGTATGATTTCATTATAATAACCGAGACAACACTTAAATGAATAAGGGCTATAAGTGTATATTCTGGTCAGTCCACTGCAAAGCAGGTTCCCCAAACTTACTCTGCATAGGGCCCCCAGATATACAGAGCCTGCCCTGGTTGTCTCTTTTATAAGTTACATTACATAATAACCAAACAGTTCACAAAACCCAAAGCTTCATTTATAAACAAACATTTGTTAACCAAGCCTGTACTACCGTGAGTCTGGATCTAATTCAGCTTCATTCAGTAGCTCAGTCCATGGAGACTCGGCTTGGGAACTGAAGGGTGGCCAGTTGAAGTCCAGCATGGACCAATGTATGGAATGTGGACTGGTAGCTGGAGAGGTGCCAGAGCAAGGCACCAAACCCCCAAATTGCTCGCAGGGCACTCCTCCGGGGCTTCCTATCGCTCCACCATCTCTCTCCACATTGTATGTCTATGAGCCCTTTATGTGTGTGCGGTTGTGTTTCGGGTAAAAATGCATGTAAAAAAAAAATGAGTGAAAAAAGACTCTCCCCTTGAGGGATTAATAAAGTATCTCTAATACAACTGCAGTATGAGCTCATGAACAGGACACAGTTTGTCTTTGCTATAAGTGTTTTATAGCAAAGACTTTCCAAAAGTTGTGTTTTAAAATTTAAGAATTAAAATAGAGATGCTGTGTTACACAGAAATCACATTAATTTTGATATTTAAGTCATTTTTACACAAAAAATGGAGGAAGTACACTAATGCATTCACTGTCTCATGTTTGTGTTTGCCCCGCATTGATATGTAGCAGTTGTGTATCTTTGTGGCCACTAGGGGACGACAGTGACTCAGAAATCAAAAATGTTGAGTCCCACCTCCAGCAGATTTTCTCTGGACTTTATTAATTTTTGTTTCTAGTACTACCACTTACTCACCATATTAACTTCCTCATCAAGTGTCATCACTCTTCACATTTATAATAATAATAATAATGATAATTCCTTGTCCTCCCACTGGCAGTCTCTGACAAAATTAGTCTTTTTCTAGTGTGATAAGATAATGATCAATTTTACTTGGATCCATTTTTTCAGTTTGAACCTGAGGTAGATTATTGAAGGTTGAAGAACCTCTTCCTTAACTTTGCCAGGCTTAATGCTGTAATATTCCATGGCTCTGCTTTACTTTCCCCGTTTCTCTCGTCCTAACTCCCATGCATAATGGTCTCTCTCTCTTTTCTCTCTATTCTCTCAGTGGCCCTCAATCACCAAGTGGTCTGTGCAGCACCACACTCTCCCCCTTTACCCTCAGCCTCTCCGCCACCTATATACCTCGGCCCCCTCGCCACCACCCCGGCACTCTAATAAGGGAGTAACTGAAACACATGCAAATGAGCAGTCAGCCAGCTGGTATCACAGCAGCCATGTGATCTATCAAGGTAGGGGGTTAGGGGGTGAAGGAGACAGGGGTGGGGGGAGGGATGGAGGGGGAGTGCACGCAGGGATGGAGCAAGGATGGAGGAGGAGGGATCTTGGGGGCTTGAGAGGGAGATGGACAGGTTGAAAGACGCTCCATAGAAACGCAGGCATCCCCCCTGCTCTTTGCTGGATGTTAAAATAATCCAATCAGGCCTCTCTCCCGTTGTCCGTCAGCATCTCTCTCCATATTGTTTCTGCCTCAGCCTCCTTCACCTGTTATTTCTCTATCCCTCCAACCTTCAAGGACAAACACCTGAACTGTCACTCATGTGACACATGACACTTAACAGGGAAGCACATCAGCATGTCTCTCACCTTCTCTATGCATGTGTGTGTGTCTGTCTGTGTGTGCATGTGTGTGTCAAACCTATGTACTTCACCCACCACTGGATGACAAGCCCCTGCAGCAGTCAAGGTACACTGCAGACATATCCACTGCATGTGTGTGTGAATACTTGTTCAGATATCTTTGTGAGGACCATTCAGAGCCCACAACCTACACAGTGGGGACATTTTGACTGGTCCTCACTTTCTGACCCACTTTTAATGGCCTGTTTGAGGGTTAAGACTTGGTTTTAGGGTTAGACTTAGTTTAAATTGGGGGTAGGCATTTAGTTGTGATGGTTAAGGTTAGGGTAAGGGGCTACGGAATGCATTATACAAATGAGTGTCCTCACTAAGATACAAACTTGTATTTGTGTGTGTGCATTTGTAGTACCCATTCCAGCAGATTCTGCTGGCATGAGATCTGGTTCAGGCTGCCAACAGCAACCACCCAGATCCATTCCTGCTTCCTTCCTTCTCTCTCCCCCCCTTGATAGATTGTTGAGGTAGAAAGGGTGGAGCCCTACAGCTCTTTTTTTGGGGGGGTGTTCATGTGTGTTTGGCTGATTGGAGTTTTTGTTGGTGCATGAGTGACAACATCCAAATATGAGCTTGTAATTTCCTTTTTGCAAACTTTTGCAACATTTAAAGATTTCTACATGCAAGCTTATTAGATGATTTAATAAAAGTAAACAATCACACAGTCATGGCATGAAGTGGTCATAACACATAACAAATACTTAATTTTGTGGATGCATAATGGATAGTCAACATATTGATGTCTGTCCATCATCTGGTTCCTGTGGGGGGGGGTGCACCTTGCCACAGCGACACCAGTCACCTGTTACCTGTCAAGAGAGATGCACAGGGAGAGATGGGATTCAGAAATTGGGTGTGTGTGAGATTTAGGCTTAGGCATTAGTTGTGACGGTTAGGGTAAGGGGCTAGGGAATGCATTGTCAATGAGTGTCCTCAGAACTATAGAGAGACGTGTGTGTGTGTGTGTGTGTGTGTGTGTGTGAATCTGTATTTGTATGTATTCATCAGGCAGTACCTCTTGGACCAAACTTCTTCAGGTAGCAGTGTGAACAGTACGGCTTCTCGTCATACTGAAACACAATCAGCAGGACACATTTACTGCATCATACATTTATTTGTTTGTCCTATTTATGTATTCACTCGCTTTTTGTTTTCATTATTTCCCTCATTCATTGTCCTCGTATACCTCAGCATGTTGTCCAGCTGTGAGCTGTCTGTTGCACTTTTGACACTTCAGACACAGAGGGTGGTAGTCCCTCCCTAGGGACCTCTTTTTCTCACCTGGACCAAAAAAAAGATGAAGGCTGCGTTAATGAGAGGCAGGCTGGGATGTTTTTTTTTCATTATCTATCAGTCAAACAGTCAGAGGAATTTCCCTTTGTACACATATGTAAAATTTTAACTCTTGATTATTTGTTACACTGAGTTAAATGAGGATAATTTACATCGAAGAAATACGACGTGTGTGATTCAGGTGTCTGGTTCAGAATCTAAAAACTGTTACTCTCTTCAGCGCATATAGGCCAGAGAGTGTGGCGTTGAAGAAAAAGAGGTAAGTAGGCCAGGTCACATCGGAGAATTTGAACTTAGCTGGCACTCAAGTAGGAAAGCAAACCTCGCGGTAATTGCGTTGAATTGAATAGTTGGTTTGAGTTTTATAAAGCTAACAACAAAGACATGTGGGAGTGTGGGAGAGAGGACTTGACAAAAAACGAGAGACTGAAGGTGAGGAAGCCCAGAGAGCAGCATACATGCACATTTGGTTGGACCCACATCCTGTTGTTTTCATGGATGTGTGCATCTGTGTGTGTGCGTGTGGTTGGAAGAGAAGCTGAAAGCAAAAAAAGAGACTTTTTTATCTCCAATTAACACCCCACATTTAAGCACACATCAAAATGGATAGCATCAGCCTTTTACAAAGCAGATATTTCAAGATGTCAGCAGCAAAAGCAGGTGTAAATAAGTATGTGTGCAATGGTTTGGATCTGTTTAGTTGTATTTCATCGCGTTAGGGCATACTACCATTTTGTGTACTATGGTACATATTTTTGTTATGAAATGCAGTCAATGATAATGTTTGTTGCATCTATGGTTGGCAGGTTAAGGAGTCCATTGGAAGGAATGTTGATCTGAATCAGGGAGGTGGAGCCAGGATTTTTTCTTTAACATTGCAAGATATGGCTTTTTTTCTACATTTCCGTTGATTTCTCAGTGAATAATTAATGGATCTTGATGGGGAAAAAATGTCTAGGGGACAGATACTGATGAGTGTACAATTCTTGTGAATTTGAATGAGGTTTCATAAAGGGACTGGGTCTTGACCATCGATTAAGTTTTCCCCAGTTTTTTACTTTTCATTTATACCATAAGCATTTTTGTATAAAATATTCTTATTTGCACTTTTTCTTATATAACTGAGACAATATATATATATATATACATTGAGAGAAGGCAAAAAAGAGAGTAAAATAAAGAACTTTGTGACATAAAATCTGAAACAGACAGCAGAAGACAAACTAAAGTGAAAAAATTTGAGGTCTCACTCACCAAAGTAGACAGGTTTTCCACAGATTGGACAGTAGCCTACCATGATAGCATATAATTATTGATCAGACAGTGTGTATGTGTGTGCAAAAGCTATAGTGAGAAAATCTCCTGAGAGAGTGTGTGCGAACTGACAATTGACAGGAAAACGGTTAAACAGCAGATACGTCAGAGTCTTGTAAAGTCAAAACCAGGATGTGGTGAGTGACAGGAAGAGAGAGAAATATGATTTAAGTTTAAGTAAATACTATCATCGGTGGGGAATAAAACAGGAGACAGGCAGCATCTCTAATCAAGACTTTTTAATAAGATGTATAACTGATATAAAGTCGTCATTTCATGGTCAGTTTTATATTTGCGTTCATCTGATGCTCTGTAGACCCAGCCTTGAACCAGTAGAGAGAGCGAGAGAATAAGAAAGACAAAGGGGTGAGGAGAGACGGGACAAAAACCAGCTCAAGTTCCCAACTATCTCCTCTTCTTCCCTGCTCTTTTCACCCTGTTTTCTAGATTAAAAACAAGGAGTGCCTCTGAATTGAAACGAGAAACCGGACACTTGTGCCTTTCTTTCCTTCTGTTTGTCGATCCTCTCTCTCTTTCTCTCTCTCTCTCTGTCTCTCTTTTCCGTGTCACATATTCACACACATGCACGCCCCCACTCATTGACTCACATGGACACACACCCAATTACACACACACTAAAAGGCTGTTCTTCTCCTCAATGACATCACATAAAGAGGCTGCACCCAGAGAGCACAGGGAGAGGCAGGGTGAGGCTGGGTTGGATGGGGGACTGACAGGGGGGGAAGCAGGGGTTTGTGTGTGTGTGTGTGTGTGGGTGTGGAGGCAGCTACCCCCTCGGGATATGAGATAGAAGCAGACCTGGGGAGGGACTGGGGTGAGGAGAGATGAGCGAGACAAGGATGGAGACAGTAGCGAGCCTCAGCTCAGCTGGGACAAAGAAGATGAACTCTGATGAACTTCGCGAAGAGAACAAGGCCGCTGAAGTCACTGTGGAAGACAGGCTAACGTCTGTGTGGTTCCATCCCTATCACTGTTAGTGGGACTCACTTCTGCCTCATTAATGACTGAAACACACGACCACTTGCATAAACTCAGGAAAGTATTGAGGTGAAAGAAATAGCTGGAGTCAGATGATACAAACATTTTACTTCAGTAAATATTAGCAACTGACCTTAAAGCAGAACATTCTTCGAGAGCCAAACTAAATTATTGAATAAGTATATCACACTGGCCCTCCCTATACGATGGGAGGAACTGTTTCTCTTTGCCAGGTGTCTTATTTGAAAGGAGTCTGATGCATTAGCAAAGGCTCTGCCATGATGATCGAAAAGACCCCATTAGTGCATGTGAGTGTCTACATTATTGTTTCCTAACATCTCTGTTTCTCCCATCAGACTACAACACTGCAGTGATTCCAAACTTCTCTGTTTGAAAGACTCTAAACCTCCAGAGTAATGTGGATGCCCAGCTTGTCCGTAGCAGAGTTGATGCATTTTAATGCGAAATAATATTAGTATGGATATTAGCTATGTTGTGGATTGCCAGGTAGTGTAGGCACATCAGTTTATTCCATAATAAACACAGGTTAGCCAATATGTTTCATGACGAATTTTGTGGCCTGTATATCCAGGTGGCATAAGCTTTTATCCTTGTTGGATAGGGAATCGGTGTAACCACCCAGTAATTTTACATTAGAAAGCAAAAAGAGAGCTGAGACACTTGCTTGGATGGATGGACAGAGTAGCGGGAGGGATGGATAGATACATAGATATAAATAAAGTGTAAATTGATAATGGAAAAAAATCAATGTACTTTATATAGCTATAGATATACATAAACACACATTGACATGCATGCTTCTGTGTGTTGTGTTGTCAAATTACATTTTCACAGCCCTAACACATCACAACATCTGCATATGATTTCTGTTCTGATGAACTTCAGAGGCCCATGAAATATATGAAGTATTTCATCATTTGCATACGCGCCAGCATCCCTCTCTTGTGTTTCATGCTTTGCAGAGGAATGGAATACCAAGTAGCTATTTCATCTGACCAGCCGTCCCTGCAGGATAACCTATCATGTCTCTCCATCAGCATTCTTTGTGTGTGGACAGTGCTGGGAGAGTTACATCCTGAATTGGAGGCCCATATATGCATGCCCATCTGACAATGTTTTTTGATGCAAATGATGATGTTGGGATTTTAATAGAACAGAAAGTGAATATGCTTGGACACAAAAAACAGAAATTTGTTTAACCATCATCACAGTGAATAGTTTGAAGAAGAGGAGGTTTTCAACAGGTTGCATTTGAGGAAAAACAGAGCAGAATCAGAGAAAAAATGGTCAAATTAAATCAGAAAAAGGGAGCGGAGCACAGAGAAATGGAGGCAAAGGGATTGTGAAATAGAGAGAGAAAGGAACCAAGAAGAGAAGAAGAGAGGGGGCGTTAAAACCACTTTTCCCAGCGGATCTTTTGGTGAGGCTGCGTTGAAGAAACTGCCAAAACTCTTTGACACACACATTCCCGCACATAGTATACATTCACTTCCAGCAAGTCACATGAGATACAGCAACATAAAGAATATTTGTGTGTGTGTGGACAGGATTTAAGTAACCTTCAGTGAGTGGTGGAAACAGGACAGAGAGAGAAACACTGGCTCCTCTGGTGGGTTGGCTCTGGACGAGGCCAAACCCTCTGACGCCGGCTTTGAGAACTGTGTGCAGGGGCGGAGGAGGAAGGGGGTGAGGCGCAGGAAAGAAAACGGCTGGAAGGATTCCCTCTTCCCACACATAAATGCACCCTTGATCACATGTGTGTACACATGAACGCACACTCACACACAAAGAGCGAAGAGAGGCCTTTGGATGCATTCCTTTTTTCCCCCACACACAAACACACACACACCCACTCGTCGTCACGTTTCAGTTCTTGGCATCCTCCTCTCTTCTCCGAGCCCAGAATATGACATGGCATTTGGGGTTACATCTCAGCTGCATACACACAATCAGCCTCGCAGTACAAGACATATGGCAAACAAAATCAAGCAGCATTTCAAACATTTGACTGATGAAGACAACAAAATAGCCCCTTGGTGTTTTTGCCTGATGATACCTTGTGCACAGAAGAAATTTTCTGCTTACCTCAGATATTTTCATTTGTATCTTTCACAATAACTTTTCCTTGCCTCCTCTAAATCATCATATTGCCATAAAACAGCAAACAGCTTAAGCTTTTCCAAACAAGCCAAGAAAACAAATATCTCACCCTGTACTGTTATAAAGCCATTCTGGTGCTCAGTTGGATCAGCTGGATTGATATTTTGGTGAGATCCGCACCATGGTGTGGCGATCCATTTCTGGGGTTTGTTTTTCCACAAATGTGAAGGCCATTCTGGAGTCAGACCATATAAAGGCTATAATCCTCTATTCAGTGGATGGAAAAGTCAGGAAAATAAGTCCTTGTTTTTCTCTATTAATCTGGAAAAGCCTATAAATCCCCTTATACCTCTATGTGGTGATATGATTAAGGCATGGGGACTATTACTGCATGATTAGCGACTATGAGTGGCTGGGTCAGTTAGATTCCATTTGTTGTTTTGTTTGAAGTGTGCATAAAACCAATAAAGGGGTGTATTCTGTGTGTGCACGCAGAACTTTTGAAATAACACACAAGCAACAGATACCGACACAATGCCGTGCTATAAATATCAACTTCTAAAGCTGCTCAACAAAAGAGGGTAAAGAGATTTGCAGTATATGTTTGACCATCTCTGTTAGTAAGGACTGAAAAATATCAACAATTATTCAATAGATTGCCATGACATTTTGTACGGGCTTCATGGTCCCTTCAGGATGAATTGTGATGATTCTGATCCTGACTTTTCCTCTTGTGCCACCAAAGCTTTTAATGCCAAGGATATTATGTTTTCACCCTTGTACTTTGTTGTAGGCAAGATTACATAAAATAGCTGAATAGATTTTCATGAAATTTGGTGGAAGGATGTGGTATGCATCAAGGAAGAGCCTGTTAAATTTTGGTGCAGATACAGATCAAGTGGTGGTTTAGGGAATCAATTTAAAGGGAACTGTTGACCTTGGTTGAAGTATGCACTCTACTGGGGGCCACTCTAGTTTAAAATGTTTTCATTATTAGGTAGATTGCCATGAACTTTAGTAAATATAGTGCCATCTGCAGGTCATTAATTTGGTGTAATATCTCAACATCTACCAAACAGATTGGCATACATTTTGGTTTGGACATTCATTATACTTCATGATCAATTACAATAATATAATTAGATTCCATTTTTAGGTCCTTCATCTAGTCAAGTTTCTAATCAGTGAAATGCCTGAAATTACATTCCCATCGACCTCAGCTGTACTCTCTGTTTAGTGTTAATCAGTAAAGTTACCATTCTTACACACTTAACTATAATGCTGAACATGGTCAATAATATACCTGGCAAACATCTGCATTTGCTCAAAGTCGATACTGCCATCGACCCTTATCACCAAAAGCTCTCTTGACATCTTATTCAGTATCTTCTACGTGTGTGGTACCGCGTGTGGCACCGCTTCTTCATCCTGAGATATTTTTTTCTATTTGCTTTTTATTTTTGCGTGTTAAAATTTGCCTTGTCACGCCCACTCGCTCGTGATGAATCCTGCAGAGGATCTCCTGCTGTGTTCTCCCATGGGCTCATTCGAACACAATCCCAAATTTTTTCTAGGGGTTCACATTTGTGTTCATACATACAGCCCTGTCCGGAGATTATCCTTGGTTCAGTGCATGTCTGAAAAAACCTTAATCTGGTTTTAACATGACACATTAAGGACATTTCCGCACTGTTATAAATGATTTGAAAATGTTTTTTTTAATTCAATTTGGGCCCCTGAATCGTCTGTCTTATGCTTTACTGCCAAACATTGTTCAAATCCAGAAAACTGCATGTTAGATTTAAGTTTTCAAAAAATGAGTCAGACTGAATTTGCAGGGAAATTGAATAAAATGGTTCACAAGACATCTTGAATATTTCCTTTTGATTTAATGATGAAACTTTAAGAACATGTCTTCCTTGGGTTTGATTTAGGTTAGATTTCCCTCAGTGTTAACCTTGTATACCTTCAGTGAGGGCTTGGAACAAGCTTGTACATGCAGTTCTACTGTGTGGCATAAGACGATTTCGACAACCTGAAGGCTACTCAAGAGGAAACAAAAAGGGAAAGCGCATGTTTAAGGGGATGATGATTATACACGATTTCAAACTTGCAATGCTGAACCTCAGTCAGCCCACACTCATTCACTCAGCAGGGTTCTGGGTGTATAGCTCTCGGTTCTCGAGGCTGGTCCCACCTATTGTTTCGATCTGCTGGGGGAAAGAGTGAGGCAGGCAGAAGGAAAGAACCTAATGTGTTGCTTCTTGCCTGTGCATTCTTGGCATAGCTCTTTGCCCTTTTCATTTTTTTACTGTGATTTTTTTTCTCCCTCGCTTTAATAGTGAAGCCAAGGGTCCACAGCCAGCCAAGTCCCACCGCTCCAGTCTGGCTAAGCCACAGAAAGCTTGGCTTCCTCCTCTCTCTGCTTTCTCTCTCTCTCATTCTCCATGTATGAATACAGTGTGTGTCCCTCTCACTTTCTCTTTGTATCTTTCTTTGTGTTGCCTTACATGTCTCTCGCAGTTGTTTCTTTCCTGTCCATTTTGTTTTTTGTATCTGTCTGCATTGGTCAATCTGCCTCTTTGTCTCAATTCTTATTTTTTGACTTGTCCTCTCTACTTCCCTGCCTGTCAGTCTGTCACAGCCAGCAGATTTCTTCTTCTCAGATGTTCATGTTCCTGTTTAATCTTCTTTTCATCTTTTTACATGTTAATAGACAAGTCATGAACATTTTTTATTTTTTTGCATCGAACTTTGCAAGTAGATCAACAAATTTCTACCTCTCTGATTATTTTGAATGCCTTTATTGTCAAATCAAGATGTCGCAAACATATTGCATAACCATTAGTTAATGCTGAAGGTATTACAGCAATGTCATGTCATCTGAATTCCAGTGCTCTGTCTTTTTTCAACACAATGTGAGTTTGAATGTATCCAAAAGAGACAGTGTTGGCAATTTGCTCCTATCTGTCTCTCAAGCGAAATTGAATTATAGATCAAGAAGCCCTCGTGTGCACTAAAAACAGAATTCTCCAACTCGAGTGAGGCCCTCTCCCTCTTCTACTACGCCCATTTCTATCTGATCAGCTCCATTCATTCCGCCACTTAGACAGGAATCTAATTAGACCAGAATATCAACATTAAAACACATCACTGCCTCCCCCTCCTCTCTCTCTCTCTCTCTTTGTTTCTCTGCTCTTCCCTACAGCTGGTGAGAGTATGGTTTGTGGCTGCCCCTCCCCCAGCATTTGAACAAGCCAATAAGAGAGCACGTCAGCAAAATAACCCCCCTCCACACACGCACATGCACACACACACACACACACACACACACACACCATCCCTCCTTTTCCCTTACCACCCCATCCATTCCCAACCCCATCCCCCAGAGCCCTCTCTACACCCCATCCCCCTTTCCTACCACCCCTAACCCACTTACTCATCCTGCCTCCACCCTCCCACACACCCACGAGACTTCCCCACCCTCTCCACTTTCTCACCCGTGCTCTCTCCCTATACCAACTGCTCCCCAGTCTCATTCCCCTTTCCTCTCACTCAACTTCCCACTCACCCTTTTCTCCAGAACACCCTTTCTTCCAACTCCGTTCCCTGCACACCCACACGCCATTTTCCTCATCCCCATCTCTACCTCTCCCCATCCTTCCCCCACCTTTCTCTCTATCCTCTCCTCTCTCTTCTGTGGCCTTATCGTATGAATATCAGTAGCACACTGGGTGAAAAATTGATCCTCCCCGCCTGTCTGTGGACGTTGCCACAGTGCATTATAGCCTGTGTGTGTGTGTTTGTGTGTGTGTGTGTGTGTGTGTGTGTGCGTGTGTGTGTGTGTGTGTGTGTGTGTGTGGAGGCTTTCAGGGAGGGAGGAGGAGGAGTGAGGGAAGGAGGGTGGGAGGGATATTTGCATATCATCAAAGTAGGGAAAGGGAGTGTAATGAGGGGAGAATGTGTCTGTGTGTGTGTGTATTAGGAGTGGTGCTGATGGGTTGTGGTTAGGTGTATGTAAAATGAGAGAACAAGACCAAGGCACTAGGGCAAGGGAGGTGAGATGGACTGGGATGGGTTTAGCAGAGTGAGTGTTTTTGCATGGGTGTGTGTAAGTGAGAGAGGGCAGGGGAGACAGACATCGATCACACATGTCCCTCTCACATGCCATCCATCACACTGGCTGGTTTAGAATATCAACGCAGCACATTATTAACACTATTATATTACAAAAAAAATAAATAAAATAAGGCCATATCCTTGGCCTTTGATTCAAAGCCCTTACACATTCCTACAAAAACAATTATCTCTTTAGCTTAACTAATGGCCGAGTAGAAAATATATATCCACATTGCCACATATCCCACTGTTAAGAACACAGGAAGCTCACCTGGTTTGTGGACACACACACATGCACAAACCTGTTCTGCCAGTGAGAAATGCGTCTGATCTCACTCCCTTCTTTTATTCTTAGATTACCAGAATAATGGTATTTTGACCCTGTTTCAGTTTACATCTAAATTAACCATCTACATTTGTTTCATTTCAGACACTATTTTCCTATAGATGTCGTACTATAGATGTTGGTGAACATAACTTTTGCGAACGCAGCGAATACTTATTTTAAAAAGGGAACTTTCGGCTCCAGAGGAAACAGCTGCATTGGGCAGGCTTGGTATTTGTAAATAAATAATTTAAAGCCCCTTTTAGCCTGCCTCCCTGCTCCCCACAGCTTCTGATTTAACAGGCGCACCCAGTCGATCGCCGAACCCACACCTTTTCATATTGCGAATAAACTCGTTATTTGTTCGTCAAGTGAATAAAAAACAGTCGCGTTCAAAGATCGGCGACATTGTTGAGTGTTATTTTGCTGCCGGTGACTGAGTGGAGGGGGTGCGTGTGCTACAAATAACTACAAACGCGGTTCGTTTTCTGGTATCGATTGGTCTCGCCTGGTGAAATCCGACTTGAGCATTGACGGTCTGTCACATTTCACGCTGACACCGAGCGAGCAAAGGGCTCATACATACACAGACACACACACAGACACACAATACTACCGACAGATCCGCGTCAGGAGCACCGCCGTGGAGAGCACATTGGGGGTAAGTTGTTGTAGATTAAAGTACCCGGAGCCTAGAGGAATCAAACCTGGTTTCAGCAGCGGAGTCACTGCTCAACATCGTGTTAATTCCAGCTTTGGTTCTCCCTTTGTAATATCTTAGCACTTTTATCTTCCTGTGTGTGTGTGCGCGATCTGGTGTTTAGCTATTTCCACACCGACAAACACAACCGGCTCACCTCACATTCAATGAAATAACTCGATATGTTATGGCTCAAAGCATTTTTCTTGTTTTTTTCACTATTAAACAAGCAGTTTAAAGGGATACGAGGCGTGGGTGGCGAGCTACGGGGTTTTTCTCTGTGCTGGTCGGCGGAGGAGGAGGGGTTGGTATAGCTTGGCAGGCTAGCGAGCGACGCTACGCCGACTGGCTAAACAAGTTGAAATTATCGTTAAAGTGGGAAAAGTTGCCTTAAACTAATTTTGGGTTTAAACACGGTTGTGGGTAAGCGAATGTGTTTGATAACAGCGTTGTTACACGGTTATAATAAGCTCAGAAACGCGTTGGCTATTCCCACTAACGTTAGCATACCCCCCCTGAACGCTAGCCTATGAGCTAGCGAGCAGTGGCCACAAACTCCTCGGTTGTTGTGGACTAAACATCGCTGGCGAGCCGCGGGGTTTAACGTAACTGCCACATGGACGTGGTTTGATAAAATCTTAGATACTGGCCGTGCCTACAGACATGTGTAGTTCGAGTCACTGGATATTGAGGCTTTCTCAAACTGACGTCGCTGTTTTAGTTGCTGAACCAGTTTGGGCGATCGTGTTCAGCAACGTTACTGAGACAAACTTGAGGGAAGTGGCGGATTCAAAGTTACAGCTGACACGCTCGGCAGAATAAACCGTGGTAGTTCACATTAAATCGGACGTGTAAACAGTGTGTGTTGCGGCTGTTTTGATTTGCAGTGTTAACACTGAGAATCATTCTCTCTCTACGTTGTGTGTCTTTTAAAAAACAGCGCACAAAAGCTTCTTCTGTGAGAGGAAACGAGAGGAAAACGCAGGAAAAAAAGAAACAGAGGAAATCCCCCGAAAGGAAATGCCAATCGCAGCCGCTGGACAGCCGACGACCCAGGAGCCTAGAGTTTGCCCCCGGCTGCCCTCCACCCCGGAGCCTGTCCCTAAAGGGGCTGATTTATTCGACGAGGCGGGGGCGGCGGAGTCGGCGGAGCGGACAGAGTACGGGGGCTCGGAGGGGGGCAGAGGACTCGGGGGCTATAGTTACACCCAGAGCGGCGCTAGGGGCTTTGCACAGCCAGGATTCATCAGCTCTCCGCCGCAGTCCCCAGCCGCGTCCTCATCCTTTCTCCTCCACCCGCACCAAATGGCAATGGAACCCCCAAGGACTCGATCGCGTTCTCGGTCTGGATATTACCAGCAGTACGGTGGTGGTGGGAATGGCACTGGATTTACCGGCAGTGGAGTCATGGGATCTAACCATCACCAACACCACCATCAGCAGCAGCAGCAGCAGCAACTACATCCACAGCAGCAGCAGCACGGTGCCGGTTGCGCACCACTTGGAGCTCACAGCAACCACTCGGAGAACCAGCAGCGATCCCCAGGAAGTAACACCTCTCCCGGCATTCAGAGGCTTTCTTCCGTTCCCGGAGCGCACCGCATCCCGGCGGCAGGTAAACGTCCACACTTGGCATTGTCACTGACTGTTGTATGTGGTAGAGTATCCTCAGTAGAATAGGTAAATACATATATTACAATAATTCATTAGACTTGTCCCTCCATATTACCACCAAATAGAAGTGTATAATTCCTTGGAGGCAAATTGTGAGGAGGAGGAGGGGGCAGTCCTGGGGTTGTCATGTCAGAAGTGTGCATGTGTGAAGACATTTGATGTATTCTAATTAGAAGGGGTGTTTTATGTGCCTGACATGGAGCTGCAGAGTGGATGTGGAGCACAGTTGGCACATACAGTAGGTAAATGAACAACAGCAGTCTGTGGTGGAGATGGGGGTAGCCTCAAGCATATTGAACTGCTGTGCATAGTTAAGTTACCCAGAGTGTGCTTCTTAAGGCACTGTAGCATGTCTACTTTTAGTCAACTACACAAATATTGATGTAGCTAGGTAACAAGCCTAACAGTATGTGCAGGCTAATCTTTGTCTATATTAGGCAGATGCTAGACAGATACTAAGGATACAAGGGTTTGAGTTCGTCGGCTTAAACAGAACAGAAAACGGGCACTTCTCATATATTTCTGTGGTGACACCCCTGTTCATTTTTAAGTACAGTCATTTTTAGTTAGTGGGTGGCTGGTTGGATGTTTTAAACATACATTCAAATCATATTGCTGTTAATCTTTACTTGCTGTGGTGCTTTAGACAAGATAATCAGCTAAAAGGCAAAATGGGTGTAATGTGTCACTTAAGACCCAAAAGGTTTATTATTGTCTCCATGACAACAGACAGTCTCTTTAGGTACATGTATGTATGGGCTTCCAATTTCAGATGGGGGGTTCAGAAGTAGCTGAGAGGCTAAGCTATATTCTTTGGTAGTTGTGTTTCTGTGTAAAACAAAACTTAGTGCCAGAGTGTGCACACACTGGTGCTGGGTGCAGGATACATGTGAGGGCACTCTCACACAGAGAATGCAGTTTAGCCAACCACATAACATAGATACAGCAAAGCTAGAGTTTCATATTCAGTGAGGCTGTGAAAAGCTTTTCTTCTAGCACCTCTAACAGGGTTCTCAGGTTAAAAGAATGCCAGGGTGTTGGTTTTCTCCTGTGCTGCTCTGGGAAATATTTTCAAATTGGTAATTTCGCAAATCGAAATGCTCAAAGAAATAATACACTTAATTTTGTACTTATCAACCCTCATATACAACTTTTTAAAGTATAGAGATAAAATTTTGATCAAACCTTTTAGTCAATGGTTTGTTGTGCCCAGAGCAGATCGACTATACATGCTGATTCCACATGTTGGAGTAAGTTATCATGCAACCAGGAGACAAATAAACCAGTCATCGCCTTTTATTGAGCAAATCATGTTTGACCGACAAGCAAACGCTCGAACACACAGAAACACTGAAAGTCATGTGACTAAGCTAAATCTTTTTTGGCTGACTGTATTTAACTGCATAGTCAAATGATGCTATTTTGTATTTAAAGAAAATAGCAACATAGATACAACTTTCAACCATACAGTGCAGAAAGTCTATTTCAGTTGTTATTTAAATAAAGTAAAGGGGTGTCTGCCTATGTCAGTGACTAACTGTGTTCTGGGACTGGAATTACCTGTCTGGAAGAGTGGATGTAAGACCAACCAAAACAGCTGAAAACACATAAACAAGCAAAGGCCCCTTCTGGACTCCCAGTCTAACTATATGTGTCTAGGTTGTGTATGTCTGCAGGGTTGCACAAAATGAAAGCTCCCTGTATGTTTGTTGTAGACTCTAAAAGATTTCAGACAAAGGATTTAAATTTTTTTAAAACCGATCAGTTTCGCAAGGCACACTGCATCCTCACAAAAGTTGAACTACAGCCATTATCAGAGTTTAGTGGTTTGCTGTGACCTACGACCCATACCCTCTCACAGTAGCTTGACTATGACAAGTAGGATAGCACAAATCAATGGATAGGATGACTGTATAGTATTTCCATCTAAATGGATTTCGATCTGGGTGAGGGGGGGGCGGTGGCCAGTGGCCGCAGACTCTGTAGACACTCACTCTTTACCTGCACTAATTTTAATCCGACCTGAGAGATTCAGATCACCCCAAAGACAAGTTATTAGTCACATATTGTATTGGTGCCATGTTTATTAGTCGGTTATTTATTGGTTTGTGCCTTTAGTCTAATTTTAAAATGACTGTGTTCCATTCTATTCTGATCTAGTAGTTTTGAAAGGTGTATTTTCAAATATAGTTAGGATATGAAAGTCTCACCATTGGAAAAATTGCAAGAACATAAAAATGTTTATTAGATGTGAATCTGCAAAACAAGTCCTTTATTTTAAAATAAAAAATGATTCAAATGCTTTATTTTTTAAAATACCATTTACATTATTTACAGACAAAGGAAAACTTCACTGATTTATAGTTAAAAAATCTTTGACACAAGTGAAGCAGCTGGCAACCCGTCCTTCCCCAACACTACACACTTTTAATTAGACCCTCTTTCCACTCCCAGAAAAGGATCCTGCTTGTTGGTAGAGAGTGAAAGAGAGGATTGATACTTAGTCCATTCTTCCCATGTTAGTCACCTGCGTTGGCCATGAAAGCTAATGATATCTTGTACTCTTTAATCCCTCCCTCTGTCTCCTCTCCTTGTAGTCTATTCTAATGCTTCAGGCCCCTTTCCCCCTCTTTTGTGCCTTGCTCTTTCATGCCTGTTCCATACTGTTTGTAACACTGACATCTCTTTTCACCATTCAATCTTGTGTACCATTCGCATGACTTTTTCCACCATGTTGGGAAATTAATATGGGTTATTAGGAAAAAAAAGTCTAAGGATTGCTCATGTCCACTTAGTTGATGCCAAAGGTTCAAAAAAGAAGCAGAGAAAATGTTGAAGCACTTAAAGGTCCAATGTGTAAGGTTTAGGTGAAAGGGATTTTTGGCGGAAATTGAATATAAAATAATCCTATTGCAGTTTTTTCCTTTACCACAGAATGGGCCCTTTCTTTAAAAACTTTATATTTACATGGAGAGGGGTCCTATCTGTGGAGGCTGCCATGTTTTTCACTGTCGTCCAGACTGGACAAACTAAAAATTTGAGTTTTCATGACAACTGAAGTTCACCACAGGTTCTCTTTCATGTTTGGAAGAGGAGGGTTCAATGAGGAGTATTCAGCTGCTAAATGCACCTCACATCTAGATGACACTTAATTCTACACACTGAACCTTTAAGCAAAAGAGCCCACTGAAATACATAAACTGGTGCCAAATTGGTCTGAGTGGATAAAAACATCCTCTGTAGCAGCTGATATCCTATCCTAATTCTGACCCACCCCTGTCACAGCTTGTCCTCTCATAGCCACATTCATTTCTCCCTCCCCCTTGGATTAGTCAACCATTTCTGTGCCCCTCCGGTCCATTTTCTCTGGCCTCCTCCCTCACATTTGTCTAATGGAGGGATCGTTTTAATGGATTGCCCAAAGCAGCAGAGGGACAGACGCTCTTGCCACTCTAACTTTACCCATCCACTCCACTCTTGTTCTCTCCTTCCTTCTCTCTGCAACAGAGGTGGAAACATGTACTCTGTTTCTTTTCTTTAAAAAAAACTTTCCTTTGTCTTGTCGCCAAGGCAACCCCCTCCAGTTTGAAGAGAAACTCTTTCACTTGGATTGACCAAGTAGCAGCCTTCACTCCGAGTAAACAACAAAGCAGTCAATTTGGTCAGCAAGACAAGCTCTTGGGGAGGTAGAGGAGAGTGACCTCAAACTAGCTCTGAATTCAAGGCATGGGATCTGATCTGGTTTGGAAACAGGTACTTCCAAAATGGATTGTCGGCAAGAATGCCAAAGGATACCAAAAAAAGTATAGATAAAATAGAGTAAAGTCAGTGAAAGTGCATAAACCAAAGTGGAGGAGATGATAAATAGAAGTTGTAGTTGTATTAGACAGTTACGTGAGGGAGGAAGTCCAGTGCACAAGTTTTTAGAAAAGCAGAGTGCAGACAGTGGATGCGGAGGGGAAGGAAGAAACTAATACACTGAAGCACAGGAGAGATTCTAAACGGTAGGACATGAACAACTTTCACATAGTAGGGTAGACAATAGGGGACGCTCTGCATCATGTGTATTGTAAGCAAAGCACAAAGAGGAAGCATGCTTCACAGATAGCTGTTGAGTGTGCAACCTGGGAGGAGGCATGGATACTGTGACTGTAAAGAGAAAGATGAAAACGATTGGCTTGGAGCAGGTGGAGACCCGGGGAGGTGACCTAAGAGCTTAACTGAAGAGGAAACCAGACCGTAGTGAGTGGGGGAAAAGATATGCGTGATAAAGGCATGAATTAATTTTCAGTGATTTAAGGAAGAGAGGGAGAGGTTGTTTGCTCTGGTGGTTCAAATGTTGGTCTCTGATTCCTGTTGATATAACTGGGTATGTACGTCAAATGTGGCTTGATTGTGTCATGAGTGCGAATCCAAGGTTCCGATGTCCAGTGGATGTAGATCAGGTGAAGTGTGTCTTCAGGCAGCTGGATATCTTTGTTTTGTAGCTCCGTCTCTCACTGATATTACTTGTATTTTTGTTGTTAAATGTGAGAACACATCCTTCCTTTTTTGAACTTCTCAGTGTAAATGTATGTCCAAACATATGCTGAGTTTGTACCAAACTGTCCTCATCATGTGGCAAAATGTGTTTGACTCGAGATTAGGGATATCACTAAATAAAGTTGTATTTTGAAAAAACAAGGACTGTCTGAACACACTAGCATTCAGGTTGGCAGCAGATATTTTTTTGCCCCAAAGACAGTGAGACAAGTTCATTTCTTACATTTGGCGCCTCATAATAAAGTGGAAATGAGTTAATGCCTCAGTTTGTGGTTCCAGTGTGTAGATTTATGATGGAAGAACAGAATTAAGACTCATTTGTCTTTGCCTGCCTGTCCTTTACTTTCTCTCCACTGACTCTCTCAGCTGGTGTCTGTCTTTCATGGAGGAGATGGAGGA